GAATAGAAGAGTGTTTCAAAGGTGTAAAAGAGGCAGACAAGAAGGTAGAAAAAAGGTGAGGTAAGTACCGTGAAAGTAGTCGAATATGACATAGAGTGGGGTCATGATAGTTTGAAATCGGAAGTCAACTGCCAGTTAATAGAATTTTTTGCCGTATGAGTATACGTTGCCCAGGGTGCACCACGTGAAGGTAAGTCTATCGCACACCCTTTGTTCAATAGAATAAATTATGTGAGCAAGTGGACACAGCTTCGATGAATTAAAAACTTAGAAGAGGGAGTGTAAATTTTAATTTTTGGATTTTCCCTTTATCACTTCCAAAGTGGTAACTGGTGCCAAAGGTATAGGGATTGTGGAATTCATCTTGATAAAAGAAGCAAGATAACATAGCCTTGTCCACTTGCGTAACACGTGGAAATAAAAATTATGAATTTTGTTGTATGAATGACCTCAAAAGTGATGCCAAAATGGGACATCTTTACTGATCAAGAAGAGGAGATAAGGACTAACCATGCGTGCGTGAAATCTCTCCATTGAATAGATAAACTAATGCAGTGGTACATAAAAATTAAATGACCTGCAATTTAGCCTCAGTTAGTAAGATAATTATAGTATTATAAATTGTCCCATAATTTTTCTTATTTATTTAGATCCTCCATCTGGTATGGAGAAACCAAATATTGACGAAACAACAGAAACATCGGTTACTCTCTCTTGGGATCCTCCACGAAAGGGACCAGTTACCGGTTACATAGTAGAAAAAAGGCCAAAAAATGAAAGAAATTGGTCAAAGTTAGTCACACTTTGTACCAATTTTTTGTAATATGTTGGAAATAGTGTATTTGAGGTGCGTTTTTTATTTCAGAGCAAATACCGGACCCGTCACTGGAACTTCTTTCGTAGTCAAGAACCTTCCAACTGGAAAGGAATTCCAATTCCGTATTATTCCAGTCAACTTGGCCGGCGAAGGTGAACCAAGTGAACCCACTGAAAATGTGATAGTCCAGAATCCACCAAGTATGGACTGCTATTTTTGACCACCCACCACTTCATACCACGTATTAATTTATTTTTTTTCGCATATAACAGCTGCACCTAAGATCAGCAAAAATATCATGAGCAATATAAATGCCGTGGTGGATAAACCTTTCAAAATGCATATTCCATACTCTGGAACTCCCCCTGATAATATTGAAGTCGTGAAGGTGAGTTAGTCTTCCAATCCGACCCATATTTGAAAGGAAAAAATCAACCGCTTTGTTTCCATTATATTTAGGATGGAAAGCCAATTCCACTTCCCAGTGGAAATTTCATGGTTGAGATCACTCCAAATGAAGTGATTATCGTAAATACCAAAGCTGAGAAAGGGGATACTGGCCGATATAATATATCCTTATCTAATAGTCAGGGTAAAGATGAGGTGGCCATCCAAGTAAATGTTAGAGGTCCACCAGCAGCTCCTATTGGTCCCCTGGAGATTACCGATGTTCGAGCCGAGAGCTGTACGCTCTCCTGGAAACCTCCCACCGTGAGTTATTAACGCTTGAATGGACAATTATAATCCGAGAGAAGTGGGCTGTTATTGACTTATGGTGGCTTTCTAGGACAATGGTGGTTCACCTATTACCAACTATGTCGTGGAGAAACAGGAAGGCAGCAGTTCTGAATGGACCACTGTTAGTGCTTTCGTTCGTATGCCCACATGCGACGTCAGCGACCTTTCTCAGGGAAGGCAGTACCGATTCCGAGTTAGGGCTGCAAATGAATTCGGACCCGGTGAGCCTCTCGAAGCAGAAAAGGCCATCACAGCTGAAAATCCCATCGGTACGTTTCACGACATCTAACCACGAAAGCTTCTGTGAATCTCTTGTTAGCTCAAGGTTTCTTATTCAATTGATTTAGTTCCTCCGGGTCCACCCAGTGACCTCGATATTGCAGATGTGGATGCAGATAGTGTGACTCTCTCTTGGGCCAAACCTCGTAAAACTGGTAATGGAAAGATTAGCGGCTATATTGTGGAGTACAAACCGGTATCCGGTGGAGATTGGACCAAGGCAACTACTACAAGTGACAAAGATACTAACGCAACTGGTACATTTTTTGTGATATTTACAGATAAGTGCAGCCTTCACTTCCAGGGACCTTTCAGATATTAATTATATTTCTGTTTTGTAGTGGAAGGACTAAAGAAGGGAGAGAAATACTTCTTCAGAGTTGTAGCAAAGAACGAGGCTGGTCGTGGAGAGCCAGCAGAGACTTCAAGGCCGGTGCTCTGCAAACCGAAATATAGTAAGTCTCATTAATGAGGCTTAAGGCGATATTGCATTTGGCTGATACGGAACAATGTTAGATCAACACGAGAAACAGCGGTTAATTTACTTGGGTTATCAGATTGAGATCCATTTGCAAAACATTAAGGGCAAAGAATTTTGTAAATGTAAAGTAGAAATTGATATCTGAATTCAAAATTGGCTGTAACTAATTTAATTAAATGAAATCAAATTTGGGCATTTCATTATTCTCAGCTGCCCTATTTTCACAAGCCTACGAGTCAAATCTCAAAGCACAATTTTCATTACAAAAATAACTATACCTATTTTGATTAGGTTAGTCGGTAAATAACTGCCTTATTATTCAACTACTGAAGAAAGAAATTGTTTAAATTTTGGGGCAAACAAATAAATCTGTAGCGGACTGCTACCTTAGTAAAGCCTGACTGACTCAGAAATCTCTAAGGCAGATCCTCCTACATCTAGCTAAACTCCCAGAACCAGCTAAGCTATAGCCCAACTATAAAGGAAACAGCGTGTAGCACGGAGCACATTCATTCAGGACGTATATTGTGGATAATGTTTACACGCAGGGAGCTACTCATGATCAGGATGGGGGATTAGGTTAAACAGAGGTTAATGATTGGTCACTGTTTGTACGGTCGCTACACACAGAGTTGTACGGACGCACCTCCCAATCCTGGCGAGCAGACATGCAGGCATACAATGACGCACACAGCGATAACTTGTCCCACAAACCTAATACCTGACAATCAGATACTAGAGGAAATAAATTTATGAGTTTCTCAATTCAACGTAAATTTTAGATATCCCTGATGCACCTGGAGTTCCTGCTGTGAAAGATGTAGACAGCGACCATGTAGATTTGGAATGGGCTCCACCTCTCAAGGATGGAGGGGCCCGCATTACTGGCTATGTCGTTGAAAAGAAACAAATTGGAGCAAGTGAATGGGAGCCTGCCACTA